GTTTCAGAGAAAGGCTGAATGAATGAGGAAAGTCGTCTGATTATTGGCTGGAGACTGAACTGTAACTCAGAAACTAAAGACTGAACTATCTTTTTGTTTGAAAGTCAAATTGAAATAAAACATTCCTTTTTTTTCTTTTTCTTTTTAATAAATAAAAAAATATATATATGTATGAAATATAAAACATAAGAAAATAAAATATATATATAAAGTAAAATAGATAATAAAACATTCCTTATTTTATTGTTTTTAAAATAAAAATAAAATAAAAATAAAAATAATAAATAAAATAAAAATAGAAAAATAAAATAAATAAATAAATAAAATAAAATTAATAAAATAAAAAAAGAAATAAAATAAAAATAAAGAATTAACAAAGCATTCCTTAAACACTGGGGATGGTATGTATTCACGTATGTGACTGTAATAATTAACGTCTAATAACATTTTTAACTAACTTTCAAGATGTAAACTGTAGTGGCTCACTAAAAATCCAAATAGAAATGATAGTTTTTTCTACTAATATCCCCCCTGATGTTGTTTTCATTTACCCTTTAAAGCCCCATCCAAGAAAAAATAGGGAGAATTTGTGTTATTGTCTGAAGTCTTTATTTGACCCTTCACAAAATATATGAGAAAAAACAGAAATGATTCTTGAATATTGGTCATTTATTACCTTTTGTTAAGTCAAAATGAATGTGCATAGTCTTCTGAGATCCAAGAAAAATAGGAAGAATATTGGATTTTTTTAGTCTGAAGTCTTTCTTTGGCCCCTCAACAACATATGAAGAAAAAAAACAGAAATGATTTTGATCAAATTAGCGTGCAATAAGTCAAAAATGTATGTTGGTGTAGTCTTCTACTGGCTGTTATCAGGTATATCTGAATGTGTACAACAGGGGTTTGAGCAAAGCTTTTACCACTGAATGATGCAGAAAGTCTCACATCCAAAAGAAACCCGATCAGATATGACACATTTGGCTTTATAAGGTTAATAAGCTCCTGTTTTATTTGCTCCTGTGTGTTACAGCAATGGTACAGCAGCTCCATGAAGTTGGTTTGTGTTTGGCTGACAGACAGGATGGACCTCCACCTCCACGTGTACCAGCTCAAAACGCTCATCAAGATCGTAAAGGTAAACTTCCATATAACCGAGCATTTTAGAGAGGAAAATGCTTCTTTCTTCTCTTTCTGTCTGGTTCAAAGTCTCGTAAAATAGGCCAGAAACAGGAACGTTTCAAATTCTGAGCAGATTCTGTTTATTCTTTATGATTATTCCTTATGAAAGCTTTGTCCTTTAGAAGATTGACAAGCTTGTAATGTTAAAAGTGGCCAAAGTCTTCTTTCCCAACTCCCTGTTAACATGTACAGCATGTAGATTGTTGAGTTTAACAAATGTGTTTCATAAATCGCACTATGGAGGCCATAGTAGGACTGTAGCTGTGTTTTTGCGTAAGTAATCATCTAGATCAAGGTTCTTCAAGGTTTTCCAGGCCAAGGACCCCTAATTATATATATTTTCTGAAATTGTGTTCTATCAAACTGGTCCTATAGTGTGTAAATGTACCTTGTTATTGGGCATTCAGTACTAAGATCCTCAGATAATCCAGAATAATACAGAATACACAATACAATAATACAGAAAAAGAGCAGACACAGGCAGAAAAACATCAGAAAGAGATAGATAGATAGATAGATAGATAGATAGATAGATAGATAGATAGATCTTCTGCCTCCATTTATCTGTTTACTACAGTCTGTTGGACTCATATTCATGTGGATTTAAAGACATTTACATTAGGAAGGGATATAAAAAAACAATTATAAAAAAGTTTAATCAACCAAAACCTTCTCGACCCCCATCAGTACCTCCAGGACCCCCTAGGGGCCGCGGACCCTGGGTTGAAGACCTTCGATCTAGATGATTCAATCCAGTTGAAGTTAATCATGTTTTCCCAGCAAAACAATCATCAACAAATAAATGTATTAGGATGACATTTTCTACCTATTTCTACCAAAATATGACAGTTAAAGACGAGTGTTGCTAAAATCTGAACACCAGCAGATTACACAGAGATTAATACTCCATTCATATTTTCCCGTCTTTTTTCAAAGTGTATATGGTAGAAAGGTTAACCAAAATAGACCTGATACAAAATAAAATGACAACTTCTTTTATGAATAAATCTCAATTTAGATCTCTCATATTGACACTTTGAGTATAATAGTAGAGCTGGTTTAGTTTGCCGTGTTGTTTAAAGACATTTACATAA